CTTGAGTTTTCTAGACTCTGAAGGTTAAACGTGTGAAAGGATTTAGCATTTACAAGCTGCATCTGGTGGAGGTGCCCTTACAAGGGCAGAGGGACAAGGTCAAGGCAAAACCACATGACCCAGTCTTTCCAGCTGCTAAGCAAATTGATTTTTCTGCCGGGCTATCTGCTACCCTTTGGCGGGTTATTTTTTGCCTTTACTTTCGGAAAGATGATTCTAATTTATACAGCTGATTCTAAGTTCTTAGGCTTTGAAAATTAAACACAAAGTGTATTTCTCAGGCCAGTTCTTGTTGGGGATGTGGTTTACCGGGAGAGTGCTGGGTTAGCTCGCCTGAGGCCACAGGCTATAACAGAGCACCACAACAAAACAAAACACACAACAGGAGCTATCAAATCCGTCTGAAGATGATGTCTAAAGGTGTTGGGGAAAAGGCTCGGTGGGTAAAGCGTTTGCTGTATGAGCTCAGTTCGTATCCCAGTACCCAAGTGAAAGTGGGGAGCAGTAGCTGAGCGTACTGGTGCACTCCTGTAATCCCAGCACTTGGGAAGCTGAGACAGGAGGATCTCTGTGAGTTCAAGGCCAGCCTGGTCTGCAGAGGGAGTTCCAGGACAGCAAAAGCTACAGAGTATGACCCTGTCTTGAAACAAACATACAAGCAAGCTGGAAACAGTAGCTAACCCAGCTGGGCAGTAAATCTGGAGGGCTTGCTGGGTAGGCAGTGTAGATGATGATGAGCGTCAGACTAAGTCAGAAACACTATCTCAAAAGCTAAGATGGAGAGCAACAGACAAAGAAACAAGATGCCATCACACACTCACACACACATGCACGCACGCACAATGCACGCACTCACACAATACACATGCACCCCAATGCCCAGAATTTGTTTCAAAGTAATATATGGAAAGAGGTGGCGAAAGGAAGGAAACAGATGAAGTGGCAGAGGAACTAGTAAGAGTGTAAATGGTTGACTGGCACTTCTCTTGACCCTTGCATGCCTTTGAAATTCTCCATCACTGAGATGATGGAGACAGACAAATGAGCACAGAACTAGTGACCCAGAAACTTGCTAGTGATTACCCTCACCCTTTAGCTTCATCTACGTCTCTTTAAAAACTGACAATAAGGCACACACCTATAATCCCAGTGCTCAGGAGGCAGAGGCAGGTGGATCTCTGTGAGTTCAAGGCCAGCCTGATCTACAAAGCCAAGACTACACAAAGAAGCCCTGTCTCAAAAAACAATCAAACAAACCAAAAACTGCCAACAAGAAATACTATCCCCTGCCATTTCCTGCTCTACACATCTGAGGTTTTGTGCCAGAGACATGGACGAGGGGCAGCTCTTCAGATGGAGAGATGGAATGAGAGCACAGGGCACAAGGCACGCAGCTCAAGGGCTTCCTGAGCCTCAGATGTCAAGCGTGGGCACTGGCCCTGATCCCCCGGCAGAGCTGGTGAGAATGGCAAGCCATGGTGTGTTTCACTGGTGCCTGCTATGTTTTCCCACAGGCCCTGTGGGTGGAATGAGCACAGAAATCAACAGTGATAAACCAGTGTGGAGGGCTGTGGCCCTGCACAGGACAGGAAGGTGGCCGGCAACTTTCCTCAATGTTGTGCCTTTTTGACCACCATGTCCTACAACTACACAAACCTCAGGAGCAGGAGACACCCCAAATGGAGCGGCTTGGCATCCATCACCGTGGAAGAGCAGGGAAAGGCTACAGCTCTGCGCTGTGTGGGCAGGCCAGCCCCCAGGGCATCCTTCATAATTAACTACCCAGTAACTCTTAGGGTGGAAACTTCGGAACTGGAGAGCAGTGGCAAGCCACTGCTCTACACAGCGATCTTCTTACAGGAAACAGACTCTAGAAATGGGGTAACTGAGCCAAGTGGGGTGCTGTACCCCTGTAACTCCAGCACTTGGGGAGGCTGAGGGAGGAGGATTGAAAGTTTCCAGCCAAACTAAGTTACATGGTGAGGCCCTGACCCAGAAAAAGTTAACTAAATAAGTATCCCACTAAGTACTTAAAAACACAGAGACGTGAAAATGAAGAGTTAACGTAAATCTATTTGAAGGATATTGCAAATCATACCCTAAAATATAACCCACATCCTGACCTTGTATGTACAAAATAAGGTCCTTTTAAAGCAATAAATAATTAGAAAGGGGCATCAAGAGAGCTGGCTGGCATCTTCTACTGTCCTTGGTGGGAGACAATTCCTTGGGCCAGCTTGACTCTACTTTAAGGCATGAGGTGAGGGGTAAAAAGAAATCAATTTGTGGATTTTGCCAAGGTGTCTACAAGAATAAATACAAACACAGCCAGGATTTTGTGGAATTATAAACCATAGGATCTAATCCTGGCTTCTGAACACTGTCTGGTCAGAGAACTCAGGAAGCATCTTTTCCTTTGCTTCAGGCAGATCTGCATAGGATTTTTTCCTATAATAATCTCCCAGCAAGAGAAGAAATTACGATTGATTCTTTTTTTTTTTTTCTGAATGCTTAAAAATAAAAATCTCTTCTAACCTATAATTATGCTTCAGTTCCAGCCAACACAATTTAGACTAGAGGCATATTTCAGCCCTCTTCCCTCCTCCCAGAACATGTAAGAAGCATAAAATAACACGGCCTCACACACCTTTCTGTAAGTATTTAGTATATACTCTTAAGGACCTAGTCGCCTCCACGGGAATGCTGTTGGGGGCCTGACGAGCCCCTTCCTTCTGCACAGTTAGTGACAACTCCTCCCAGTGTGGCCTCCATTAGGAAACACAGCTTTGGGGGTACAAGGAGCTGCCCCATATCTGGAGGCAGCCTAGACTCTTCGGAGCACACCCTACTCCAGGGTCCCTAAGAGACTGAGCGGAAGGAAACTCCAGCCCAGATCACAACCTCCGCAGACTCCGCCCCTCACTCCTGCCCCATCTCCTCCCATCTGAAAGCAGTTCCTCACTAAAGCACCTTGAGAGAATCCACGCCTCTCACTCCACTTTAGGGAACCTGAGCCAGCCATCACTTTCAAGAATCCCATAGGAGCAAAGGAAAGTGAGCATGCTACCATTAGCTTATTGTGCTTGAGTAACCATGGGTCAAACCATTTCCACCAGAGGGACGTACGTGGTGGACGGACCATGGGTTTAGGATGATGTGGAGGTGGCAAGCTAGCATCTACCTAAGTCCAAATCTCCTTGAACATCCAAGGTCATAGACTAAAGAGGCTTTCCATCCAGACTCATTTCCAAGACAATCTAGGGACAATCTACACAAGACTGGCTGTTCATCCGTGTTCTACAACAAAGGAGCTCTTTCCCTAGTTCTGTGTAGCCCAGGGGGAGGCAGAGTGGCTTTGTGTTCCAAATTCCACTGAACTGAGCCGAAAAGAAAGACTCCAGTTAAAAACCAAGAGAGTTCTACCTATACCTGACCACACACCTAACATGTGTCTCAAGAACTGGAAAGCACAGGGCTTGGGAGAGAGCTGTGCTGACAAAGTACTTGTATTGAGGACCTGAGTTCAAGCCTCCAGAACCAAGTTTAAAAGAGTTGAGGGGGGTCCCTGGGGCGCTCTTAGGCAGCCAGTCTAGCCTCCTTGCTGAGTTCTAAGCCAGTGAGAGCCCTTGTCTCAAAGAACAAGGTGGATGAGCACCTGAGGAACAATCCACGGCTGTCCTGCATCTTTCGCACATGCACACATGTAACCCACACAAACACAGGTAAAATCACACAGACACACACCTACAGAAAATTACAAAGATGAAACCTGTCAACCTGCCAGACCAAAGAGCCCAAGTCTGTTTGCCCAGGAAAGCAAAGGTCCTGACTGAACCAGACTTCTGATTGGTTGTGTGACCTATAAACTCACCCAACCTTGGCTCCTTCATAGCTCCTAGGCTAACTCAGAGGCAATCTAAGGGTGTGGAGGGGTCCCCAAAGGGGAGTGTGTGCCTTCCCTAAGCTCCTTTTCCGCAGATTTGCTCATTGCCCCTCATAACCCACACTAGTTTTACTTTTTTTATTTTTTATTTTTTCTTTGGGGGGGGGGTGTCCTCCAAGCCTCTGTGAACACCCAGAGTGACTGTTTCGCCCTTCTTCCTGATGGGCAACCCACACCACTAACCACTCAGCAGCAATTCTCCTGCCTTAGCTCCCGGCACTGCAGACTACAGGATACAATGGCACCCAGCCTTTGCAACTTTTTAAAAAAGTATTTATTTGATTGTTAGTTTATGGGACAGGCCATGTCACCGCATGCATGTGGAGGTCAGAGGACAACTTGGAAGAGTCAGTTCTCGCCTGTCGTGTGGTTTCAGGGATGGTCAAGCTTGGCAGCGAGTGCCTTTACCCGCTGAGCCCTCTCGCTCACCCTTTGCAACCTTGAAAACCAGTATCTTCCTTCTGTTTTAAACCCCTTTCCCTCTCAAGGGAACAGTGGGACAGCTGCAGTGGTGAGCAGCGAGCACACAGCCACAGAGCTGGGCAGCCTGGAACTGCCGTAAGAACCCTGGACTCCGAGCCCAGGCTCAGCCTCCACACTGCACCGCCCCTTCAAACTCTCAGGCTCCTGTGCTTCCGACACACGATGGAGACATGCTCAGTGGCAGAACACCTCACTGACCATGAAAGAGGCCTTCAGTCTGAACTGAAGACCAAGAGCCAAAATGTAAGAAAATAAGTAAAAAAAAAACTCCTGCAAAGGTGCTAAGAACGTCTACTTCACAAAATTAGTGTAAGAAATGAAAAACAAGGACATATGGAAAATACCCTAGCAAGCTGACCCCTGCCTGGTAGATGTCTAATAAATATTAAAGTTTGTCTTTCCATTTATCCCAGGAGTCTGCCTTGTTTTCGCCAACTGAGAATTCTGGGAGAAGATGCAGAGCAAGTTCTAACCCCTGTGAATCCCTGGCACTGAAAACAGATCCAGTGCCTGAGCGAGACAGGCCTGGCGCCCACAGGGTCGCCACAGAAGTGATGCCCCAATGGTGGCCTACCTGGTGGTCGTCCGGATGGTGTTTTCTTTCGTGTGATTGTGTTCTTTGCTCACTTTTTCTGTAAGGAGACAGAATGAAACACACGCCTCAGGTCAAGCTCAGCCCACTTCCATCTTTCATGCAAAAACTCCCAATTTCTCTTTATCCTATTCACAAAGTCACAAAAGCATCTGGACAGCACCCACGGAACTGGTAAACACTAAACAAATAGTTAGGTGTTGTCTGATTGTAAGTGGACCTTGGTAAATTTGAATACACACCAGATACCCAAACATGCACAGAGAAATACAGGTGCACACAAACAGTTGTTTCTACCCATCTTTCCTTAGCTGATCATTTCTGTTTTCCTCTCGTAAGCTGTACGAACTGCAGTTGTGGCTGTCCTGCTCCTAGCTCTGATGCCAGTCTGTGTCGTTAGGCCCCTTCAGAGAATGACCAGAGAACTCTTTATGCTGTCATGGACTGCTTATCCTAATAAATGTCACCAGGAACAGAACACTGCCATTAGACAAGAGGCAAGCCCTCTCCTCATGCGTCCTGGGGTCTGCATCTACCAGCTGTCAGAAATTATTTAATTAGCTTTCAAGAATACCAAGTTGAACCATAGCCTGGATGATCCAACACAAATGTAAGGGCTCTGCCCTGGCCATCACAGCTCTTAATGGCTTCTTTGAAGCATTTGCACAAAATCTGGCCAGTCCTGCAATGGTCTCAGATTTTACCAGATAACTAAAAAAATTCTCATCCTGGGGATTTTTTTTTTCTCAAAATGTAAGCAAGGTTTATAAGTCTTTCCTACATGCCTGTGACTGAGCTACAGGTCAGCCAGCTGTGTTTACAGACACCTCCTATCTCTTTCAACAATGACACCAAGGGAGAATCTGTATTGCCAGCCAGCATCCATGAAGAGGGTGTGCAACGGGCTAGATGACTTGTCTGAGGTCATCTAGGCTGTGACTGTGTCAGGGTGAGACCTCTCTGAGCCACACAGGCCTGGCTCTTGCTGGCTTAGCCTCTTAAATCGCTATCTATGTTGCCCTGCTTTGAGATATGTCTCGCCTTTGGAAACAAACAAACAAAAAAAAGAGCGCCACGTGGCACGACTCCATACAGCTTACTGAGTTAGCGGCCCTGGCCACTGTAGAGGGGCTCATGTCACCCAAGAGCCATGCAGCTGTGGAGGTGTTCTCAGAGCAAGGAGAAGCTGGCCTATCTGGGTGGCCCACCGACTTCAGCTTCCTTCCTGACCCATCTCTAAGGGGTAGGAACAAGTGCCTTCAACAGCAGGCACCTGATGTGTGTGTCTGCTTTATCAGACATGAATAAGAAATGACTGACGGAGGAATTTCATGAAGACCTAGAGAAGGGATTATGTGTGTCTACCAAAATACCAGTCTCATAAGTACAAAACCCAAAACAAAACAAACCAAAACAAACAAAATAACCAGTCTCATCGACGGTCAAGGAGTAACAGCACATTCCACTTGCTAGGAACAAGTGGTGTGAGGCTTGGAAGGGTGGACAGAGGCATAACTCAGGTACCCAAATCGCCCCAGGGCTGCACACCTACACATCTGGGTTCTAAGCCCTTGAAGGAATGAAGGTTGACCTATGGAAACACCCTCTTAGACCTCAACTGAAGAAGACCTTCATGCTCCCAGTCTTTGCTTTTCTCCTTTTCAATTTTTTCAGTAACATATAATACGATTTTTCCCAGTAATGCAGGCTCTCAGGGCATGGACGTTTATCCGTCACACATTAGAAAGAAAAAGCTGTTATTACGAGCAACACTAAACCTGCCCAGAAGTACATGTTTGAGCTTGGTCAAAGGGGTCAGAAGTACACAGAGTTCTAGTCCCCAACTATGCTAAAGCCAGTGTGGGACAGCTCAGCAGGTAGATGGGCTTGCAGGCTAGTGTTATTATCCAGGCTCTATCTCTGGAGTCCACCTGGAGGACGGAGGGAACAACTCCCAAGAGCTGTCCTCTGACCCCCACATAAATAAAATCGAATAAACATTTTGTTAAGTGTGGTCGGAATCTGATGTGGCAACACTCACTCAACACAATACAATGCTACATGTATACAACAGGTCCTTACAAAACACCCTTTTCCCTTTCTAGGAAGACCTTTACTACCAAGGCCTTCTGTCAGCAGCGTTTCCCCACAATTCACCTACCTGAGAGTTGAAAAAGAAGCTCAGAAGCCATCTTCACAGAGATGTCCTGGCTGAAGAGATTTCTCTCTGGGGGAACTCTACCTTCTGGAAGCTTCTGTAAGGGTTCAGTTTTCTCTCGCCCCATTAAAGTGCTGTAGCCAACGTTCCGGCTGGGTGATATGGAGACCGGGGAGTCCTGGATATCCACCTCCATGGGCTCTTCTTTAACCTTCACTGTCTGCGTCTCCTTGTAGCTTTCCGCTGCAAGTAGGTGGGTGAGAAAAACCAGAACATGGTCATTCTTCATTCTGAAGCAAACCCAGTTTCTGCTGTCTTTCTGTTGCCCTGGAACTTGAACCCAGGGCCTAGTGCATGCAAGAGGCACACATGCGCCACTCTGAGATGCTTTCCCTGCAAACTCAGCTACTAATCACAGAGAAAACTATGAGGCTTGTGAGAGAAGAGTCTAGAAAAGCGAGCACCATGGACACTAGCACCCTGTGTGAAACCACTGGTTCCACCCACCTGTCTTCCAGAAAAGGCAGGAAACGTGATGGCCTGGGAAGTTGAGTAGCCAGCCCAAGGTCACAGAGTTAACAGCCTAGCTCTCTGGAACCTTGGCTTCTTGGCTTGGGGTTTCCTGACCATCCCGCCTGTAGCTTCCTTTGTCCTGCCCTGATTCCAGAGGGTATGCCCAGTCACTGGCCTGGTCCTAGAGCTCAGTCACTTTCGGCAAGTCAGGTGAGAGCTTATTAATATTATAACTTCTTCCCTGACTTTAAAGACCACACCTCTTTTTTTTTCTTCTCTAAGAAGGCATCTAAATTAAAGGACAAATGGAGTCCTTAACTTAATTCAGTGAAGACATTTCTACTAGAAATGGAAGCTACTAACTCTTGAAACCATTTCTCAAGTTAGCTGAAGCCCAGAGGAGCACAGAGGAAAACAGCCGTCTCATAGACAAGAACAGCAGTCTCTCAGCTGCTCTTCCTTCAAGGTTTCCAGACAGCCCAGCATTAATGGGAAGCGTGCACTTGCTTTTCAAGGCTGAGCGTCTGTGGTCATGCACTCCTTTGAGCTAAGGGCAGGGCATGTTTGGAGCAAGGTAGGATGGTTCACCCAGACATGAACTGGGGCCATTTAAAAACAAAGTCACATTTTCAAACCAGTGAACATTAATTAGTAACTACTGAGCACACAGTGCCCTCAAAGACAAAAATCACGGATGACTCAGACAGCTAAATGACAGAAAGGCAACGGAGCAGCCCTGAGCAGTAGCCCTCAGCAAGGGATGTTTGCACGCTAACCCTAAGAACCCGGGACATGGTCCCATTTGGGGAAAAGCACTTTGCAGATGTAACTAAGGATCTCAAGGTGAAGTCATAGTGGATGAGCCAGAGGAACCCCAGAGCTAACAAAGGTCCTTCTTAGAAAAAGAGACAAAGGCGGAGTCAAGAAAGAATCTGGAGCTGCACTGCAACAGGCCAAAGAGCTGCACAAACCCAGATAAAGGCAAGAAAGGGCCTCCCACGAGAGCTTTTGGTGGACATGAAACTCTGAACTAGGTTATGACAACAACAGGCCACGGAGTTTCTCAAAGCGTCGCAAAGCAGAGCTAGAAAATGCACAGAGGAGATACTGAGAGAATGGTCTACAGTGTGTGCTGACCCCTGAGTCAGTCCAGCAGTGAGGAAGGGAACCACCATTGCTGTAAACTAGCTGGTCAAGAAACAGCGCCCTCTTCTGGAGCACGGCACTGCCCAGCAGTTAAAACGCACAAACAGGAGAAGAGCACTTCCAAATAAGCCATTAAAATTAATCTCCTGCTACCAATATGAGCTTGTGTACATTTTTCTTTGTAATGTATTACACACGATTCTCTCGAAAAACTGCTCATTCTTTTGTCAATAGCTGAACTTGGGGCAACAGGATATTTCATCTAGATTGTTCCCCCTTCCCCTCTTCCTGCCAAACTGCTTTCCCCTCCGTAAACTAAGCAGCTCATAAAAACTTAGTTCACTGACTCAGTCAGGCGTGAAAGGAGAAAGTGGAGGAAGAAAAGGAGGAGGGAGAGAGAGGAATGGAGGGGGAGGAATTGGAGAATGAGGAAAGAGAGAGAAACTGGAGGGGGAGGAAGGGAGGTGATGATAAGAGTAGAAAGCTTTTCCAGTTACAGACTGCCCTCTCAACTCATAATCCATCAGCTGCTTTCTGGGGTGCTGGCTCCCCAACCCTAGTGGTTTGATGACCCCGCAGACATCTTAACCTCCAGCTGAATCATCTGCCCATATGAGTAATCACACCACACATTTCCTTCTTCATGTTCCCCCAAAGTACTCTATACATGGAAACTAAACAGTGGGGTCAGTGTCACAGGTACATAGCGATGTCCTGACCTTCACACTCCAGAGCCTGAGGACACACATCGTGGAAATCCAGGACAAATACAACGAGCGTCATTGACTTAAGAGGAAAAACCTCAACACCCAGAGTGAAGCTGGAAAGAGGTTCCTCCTCCACCCCCAGTCCCCACCTTTTACCTTGGATTAAAAGCCATGTGACGATCTGCACTACTGACCTGAATGGACAATTAGTCTTTCAGGTGACTGAGGTAGTTTCCAGTGCGATCTGCATGAAAGTGCACAAGACACTGACCTTTGGTCACAGCCTTTAGCATCCTAAGTGGCCCTGATGGATGGGACCCAGATGTGCAGAGAGGGGTCAAGACTGACAGCCCAACTATGGTATCACAGTCCTTTCCTTCCCGTGCAGCACTACCATCACTTCCCTTGACTTAAAAATAAGTGTGCATGGAAGTTTGGCCTCCATGTAAGTGTGTGCGCTGTTGGTGTGCCTGGTGCCTGTGGAGGCCAGAGACAGAGTCTGAGCCCTGGAGACTGGCACGGCAGGGGTTGTGAGCTGCCATGTGGGTGCTGGGCCCTCCTCAGGAGCAGCCGGTGCTCCAGCTGTTGAGTAATCCGCGCAGCACGCCCACTCCTTCGCCTCGTCCTTGGTGGCAGGATCATCTCTACTGGGGTAGGCTACGCTGGCATCTGCGGGACACCTGGGTGCCAGCAGCACTACACAACCAAAAGGCCTCCCAAGGCAGAGGGGACAGCTCAGAGGGCAAGGTGCCTCCCAAGACCAAGAGGATAGCTCAGAGGGCAAGGTGCTTACTGTGGTAAGCACAAGGCCAAGAGGACAGCTCAGAGGGCAAGGTGCCTACTGTGGCAAGCACAAGGC